GCTGGGGACGACACCTTCCCCCAGCGGCTACTCGGAGGCTGGTGAAGAGGATCCCTTGCAGAACTACATGAACTCGGAGAACACCGCGCTGCACGGGGGCAGCGGGCAGCGCCGGACCAGCTTCCTGCCAAAGCCTCGGCGCGGCTGCGTGCCCAGTGTCTTCAGCTTCGACTTCCCCCGGCCTTGTCCGGAGCAGCCGCGGCAACTCAACTACATCCAGGTGGAGCTGGAGGCCGAGCCCCGCAAGGGACATCAGAACCCGCCGCTCCCCCGTGTCCCGCCTCCCGCCACCCACGAAGCCCGCCGGACGGACTCCTACGCGGTCATCGACCTAAAAAAGACAGCGGCCATGTCCAGTTTGCAAAGGGCCTTGCCGAGAGACGATGGGACTTCCCGGAAAACTCGACATAACAGCACTGACCTGCCTCTGTGAGGGGGAACGCCAAACGCAAGCGCCGTGTCGTGGCTTCGGTCCCTGCCCTTCGGTGTGTCGCCCTGTGTGACTTCCATTCGCCTTTACCTTCTGCTTCCCTGTTTCCCCCATTACCTGGTGTCATGGGATGGCTCCCACAGCTGATCTTCAGGCTAGTCCTTCGGTCTGTCTTCCCCTCTCCATCTCTCCCGTGTAGTTCGTTTTTAAAGCCTCGTGGGATGTTTAATGATGCTGTTGGAGGGTGAAATCTCCGGTGGGAGGGGCAGAAGGTGCCGGTGATGCACCAGCACGGAGGGTAGCTCTGCTGCTGGCCTGGCAGTGCCAAAAGCCTGGCTGCAGAGGCAGGGCTCTAGCAGGGTGGAGGTGGGATTCCAAAAGCGAGTGGCTTTAGGAGCCTCGCACATCAAGCCCATTTCCCGTGGATTTCGTGCCTTGCGGCTTCAGGCTTTGGACCGCTCCGACGTTGGGCTTTGCTTTGTGGCTGGTCCCTGGCGATGTGGGCGCTCACGCTGCGGTCTTTCCCCCCTCGGCTCGCTCCTTTCTCCCTTCTGCACTGCACTATTTTCCTGAAGCTCGTAGAAGCTTTTTAGACTTCTATCCCTTTCTCAGATTCAGTTTAAATTGGGCAACTCCAGAAATGAATAGAGGAGGAGAGACAGCCATGGGCCCAGACACTGTGATCACATAAACCCCATTTCCTTAACCCTCCTCTAGAAGCAGGGGGGGAAGACCGCAACTATGAGAGAGAACTGAGGTTTGGTATCGCAGAATTCCATGGTACCGTACCCTCTTTTGGTTTTTCAGGCGTCTTTTTGGTGGCTGTTCAGAAGTGTTGTTGATGTATTTATTTGTTTACTTATTTATTAAATGTTCTTTTGCCTTCCTGGTGGCAATTGCCAAAACCGGTGCCAGTGTGAAACGTGAACTTGCTGTGGCTCGCTCCTGTCTGGGGGACAGATCTCAGAAGAGGCTGGTAGCTTGGCTGAGGGGAAAAGAGCAGCTGGGAATCAAATTTTGTCCTTTTTTTTTTATCTTTTAACTGGGACTGACTGTCAGAGGGTGGGTGGGAAGCGGTACGGGAGACGTGGGAGTGCGAGCAGAGCTGCCAGGCAGCCGGGCTTGGAGTCGTATCAAAGTCGTTGCCTACACCCACGTGCCTGGCTGGATCCTTGAGAAATATTTGATGAGTGTTTTGAGTGAATGTGCAGTTTGTTTCCTACAACTACGGGCTTGGAAGGGCTAAATTTCAGCTCTCGGGTAAATTTGTGGCCTTTGATGTGGATTTTTCTCTTGACACCGGGGCTGAGGCTAAGCTGAGCTGTCAGGCCTCCGAGTGAGGTCCTGTGCAGGGTCTCTGCTCCTCTCCCACTGCAGGGGGTCCCACCACCCCTCTCCAGATGGTGACACGCTGCGGCTTAATCCCTTCCTGGATGACTCTTTGCCATCAGAAACTGTTTCCATGAGACACAAGCACTCTGGGTTACTCTGGAATCCCACTTCCCAGCTGTCTATTCCTCATCTTCCTCCCTGGGATAGGAGTTGAGAGATCCAGTGCCCCGGGAGGTGACCAGCGGAAATGTTGCCAACCCTTGCTGTGTTCTCCTCGTCCCTAAGGTTTTCCGATGTCGGAGGCCGTGAGCCTCCGGTGTGAGAGAGGAGCGAACCCGATTGACCAGCTGGTTCCCAGGTCCAGAAACTTCATTCCCAGGGTTTTGAAGTTCGGCCTTTTTGGTTTTGGTGCTGTGCGCCGTCCTACGGAAAGGTGACACTCTGGGGAGCCGGGACGCGTGCCGCGCCGTTCGGGACAGTGATAAAAGCGTGACTAACGCCGTGCCTGGCTCGGCAGAACGTGGGTTTCCTGGCTTGCTGTCGCACTGGCAATTCAAGAGTGCCCCACGGGCTTACATTCACGGTTTGTCGTTTCCCTTTTTGTGTTTTGGGACGTCCTGGTGCCCGTCTTCCATTCTTTTCTCCACCCCAACCCTTGTGTGAGCTGTAACTGAAAGGAAACCCAAGTAATATATTTTTATATGTATACCAAATGACTTTATTTAAAGAAAAAAAGACAAGTAATGTATCCCCCAAAATCCAGCTTTCATTTAGGGAAGCGAGAGAAGAAATTGTTTATATATATGGATGTCTATACACGTGTGTATATAGAAAAATTAAGTGTGCTGAGCTTTAAATAAAGAGTTTCTAAGCCGTAAGTGTCACCTCTGGGGCAGCACAGGGCAGCGCCTGAGCGGAGAAATGCAACGTACTCCCCTTTTCCTCTTGGGAAGGGGAAGAAGGATGGAAAGTTTTCCGTGGAGGAAGACGTGAGGGCCCTTGCCCACCCGCGGGGCGGTTAGGTGCGCGGGAAGGTGCCGTCGGGTGGCAGCTTGTGTCTGGGGGGAGAGGAGGTGAGGCCTGGGGGGGCTCGGGGTGGCCACCGGCCTGGCCGCACGTCTCCAGCGGGTGGGATGCGGCTGGTGCGAGGGTCTGTGGACCCTGCGAGCTCCGGGGATGACGGAAAGCCCTGGCTGCAATCCTGCTTCCGTGGCTCTCAATTAGCTTTGCTCTGGGGAAGCTGGTTTTGACCTTTTCGACCGCTGACTTCCACGTCCTCCAGGCAAACCGCGTTGTCCGACTTGTGCCTCCCTGTCCTCCGGCAAATCCGATGCTCCCCTACTTCCAGGGAGCCGTAGTGACACGGAGACACCTGTGCAAGAGCTGTGTGCTCACGTAGCAAATCCATCGCTGCTCTTCCCCGACGGCATCCCTTATCCCATTTACAGCACCTGTTTAAAGGAGGAGAATTTCCTTGGCCTTAAAGATGAGGATGATGCTGGCTGCATCCGGTGCTTTCCGTGCACGGTGATCCGGCGGGTGCCCTCTGCACCGTTGGTGGCTGCGGGTCAGGGAGCAGCAGTGTTGGCTCCAGGGGATGGTGTATCCCAGGCTCTCCCCAGGAAGTTTTGGGAATGAAAAGCTGGTCGCAGCTCATTGTTTGCCGTGGGTTTGTTTAATGTTTGAGCAGTTTAATGGGAAACGCCGTGCAGGCAGCCAGGAAACCGCTTGTCGTTTATGGCTTTCGGGGTGCCCGTCGGGTTCCCGTTCCGGAGTTTTCCCTGCTTCTTTTGCATTTCTGGAAGACTTCCCAAGAGCAGTGTCTGCATGAAGTAGCCAGGACCCTTGGAGAACTTCTTAATATTCGTTTTTTCAGGTGGCGTGGAAGTGCAAGGCAAGAGTGGAGTCGTGTTTGCTTGGAGTTCTTGGAGCAGAGGTGTCCCGGTTTTTCGGATTCCAGTGTCGCAGCTTCCTCTAGCGGCCACTCTTGAAATGGTTTCGGAGGAGAAGCCCATGCTGGGTGGAAAGATGAGGCCATTGGCGTTCGCATTTTCTCATTCCTTCAGTTCTTTCCCTTCTGATCCCTCCTGACAGCTCTGGAGTCTTCCCTTGGCCCTGTTTTCTTTGAGCTGCGAATTACGCCCCGTGTCGGATCTTTATGGCACCCCGTAAGGATGGGGCTTGCCGATTTGAGCCTTGCACGCTGGGCTTTCCCGCTGGATGCGTGCTAATGTACATGGACGTGCTTACTGGGATGGGAAACCAAACCAGGGATGCCCAATGCCTCTTCCTTACCCCTTCAACCGTGGAATATCCCCCCGGCGAAGGTCAACTCCGTGGCGGAGAACGCTTCGCCCTTTGTGGCTGCATCCCTAAACCTGGGTTTGGGTTAAGGAGGATTCATCCAGGGCTCTGTGCTTCCAGCTGATGCTGCGCAGACTCGGAGGAAGCGCGTGAGCACGTGTACGTCTGCAACCTGCCCCAGGGTTTGTTCCTGCAGCTGTCTCCGACGCTCCCACCCTCGCCTCTGCAAGGCGGATGGTTCGCGTCCATGTTTCGCCTGCAGATTGGTAACTTGAAAAAGGAGCTGCCTGGAGCCGGCTACGGCGTTCGCTGAGGCTTTGTTTGGTTCTGAATGAAAAGGTTTGGGCAGCAGGGTGAGGCCGGCCTGGGGAACGGCCGAGGCCTGGTGAGCGGTCGGCTTGTGCTTCGCTGCGGAGCGGGTTGGAGTAGCCCTGGCTGGGGACTGTGTCTTGCATCTTCCCCTGCTCGGGAGGTTGAAGTTCAGGGGCTGCTTGGAGAGCAGCTGTGTGCTACGTGGGGAGAATTTGACTGTCTTAACCTTTTTAAGTGGTTCTTGTTTGAGTTTTGAGTTAATCAATCAGGTTTCTTCCCCTGATACTTCTTCGCTGGTGAATGCATAAATAGAGCCTTTACCCTTCCCTTTCCCAAGAACCTGTTGGTAGGAATATAGCTTTTCCCGCCGCTCCTCTGTCTTTTGTCATGGGAGGGTTTTTTGTGGGTTTTTTTTTCTTTTAACCCATTTCATGTGCCTGCTTTTCCCCCAGGGAAGGAGGTTTGAGTATCTGTGAGCTGCACCCGCCTTACAGGAAGAGATGGCAAAGGAGAGGCTGGACTGTGAGGGATAAAGGATCATTATTTTTGCAAAGAGACTCCAATGTGTTTGTTATCGCTGAAGTATTGTCGTTTTTATTACCTAAGCCACGCTGTTCACTGGGAGAGGAACCAAACCAGGGCTTGGTATTACAGCTGTCAGTTCTCTCGGCCACTTTCTCCCAACGTCTTTCCTCTGTCCCTCCGTGTGATGCTGCTCAGCCCTCTTGGGTGGCATCTTAACTGTGAAGGCTCGTTAACGAGTGAGCGTTAATGACCGCGTTGCCTACATTCAGCTTCTGGGAGGGCTGCTGTCAGGCTTTCTGGGAAGTTGGTCTTTTCCCCCAAACTTGGCTCATCTTGAAATGCCGTGCACAGGTAGCAGAACAGGTTTAGATTCCTGTTACCGAGCAGGACCAAAGGTGAATACATTAGTGGAAATCCTGAGAGCTTTGAAGTTGGCAATTATAGACCAGGGAGTAGAAAAGGCTAATTGTAAAGAAGGGTTCTAATTCATTTTTCTTCCGTAAGTGAATGTGATTTTACAGTCGAAAGGCCCAGACGCATCTGTGTTATCTCAAGCTCTTCTCCCATGCGATTCTCCGTGTTGTTACGTGTACTGGTGTCTTTGATCCTGAACACTTCTGATATGGCAGAAAAACAAAGGTGCTTCGGGGCTCTGGCCACCGGGAATTCAGTTGCTCTGAGCAGAGGGGTTGACCTTGCTGTGTAATCGCTTCTTCAGGTTGTTCCTATGGATATCCATTCGGTGCCTCTGTATAGCTCATCCGGGTGTAACCTCACAGGTGCCGAGCAGCAGCAGTGCCATGAGGAGTGCCCATGGCTTACGTCAACGTGCACTGCGAATGTATGCAGAATAAATGGAATATGATGATTATCGGGTGGTCCTGTCTTTTGTGTGGGGTGCAGAGACTTAAAAACATCAGTGAGAGAGAGAGAGACGGGTGTGCAGAGCCTCTCTGTTGGCTGCTGACCCACGGGGGGATCTCTGCAGGGCAAGTCCACGCGCTGCTGCTTTGAGCTGGAAGCTGACCCCCCTGCAGAAACGTTTGGACGAGGTTTGAGGTTCTGTGGGATGTGGGACCTGAGGGGATGAAGTCACTGACTCTTTCGTGGTGTCTCTCTTTGGGGCAGAGCCATCGGGAGGATGTAGGCTGGATTTCCGCTGGGCTGAGCAGCAGGAGGAAATCATGAGGTCGCCTTGGGAACTGATGGGCTGTGGATGTAGGTTGAACATATTCACGCTCTCTGGAACACCCTTTAAGACATGCTGATTCCCCCACGGGGAATTTAAGGTAATATTTGCAGTGGTGGAATGTGGGAGCTGCTGGGAACGAGGTGGTGTTGCTTATGTTGAACGAGATGTGGCTTCACTCCTCCTGGCTGTGCTGATCCACTCTGGGCACCGGGCCTTTCCACGGGTTCTCTGCCCCGTGCTCTGTGCAAAGAGTTGATGCGCTTCTTTTTCCCTCTGAAAACTCTTCCCCAGCAGGACTGAATTGAAGAAGAGCTAATAGGGCCTCCTGAGTGAGCAGGCCTTCAAGACGTGGGGTGTTTTCCCAACACAAACCCAGGTGTGTGTTTCCTTCGGATCCATTCCATGGCTTTGTAAGATGCTGGAGGTAAGAACTGGAAGGGACACAGAGGAGGTAACACAGCTGATGGTAAACCCGTGTTATTCTTTCCATACTATCCCAGGAAAACACGATGCAACGCTTTTCCTTTCTCTTTCTAGGAAGGTTTCGAGAGCCCTATCAAGAAGAAGTTGAAGATAGCATGGCAGGTGCCACTGGTATTTGGAGCTTTCGGGATAGTCCTTAGCACGGTGGGAAAACCTCTTGCGATGGCATTTATAAACCCCAGATAGGTGATGCAGGGGGGTGGGGACCGTTTTGGGGTGTATAAGGAGTTCGTGCGGAGCTCCAGCGTCAGTGTGAGGGCTGGGACTGAGCAGGGTGGCTGGAGGTCTCCCCAGAAACTGCCCGCAAGAGAAGATGATGACGACGTGACCGATCCTCCCCCTGGTTTGGGAAGTTAAATGTCAGACCTGGAGCCCAGCACTTTATTTCAGGAACTGTTCTCGTGGTTGCCTAGGGAAGGAGGAACATTTAACGAGGCTGGAAGCTGTTCGTCTGTGTACTACCATCTCTGTTGTGGAAATAAACCCCTAAAAGCAGCTCGTGCAGCAGCGTGGGCTTGTGCAGAGTTCATAAACACAGCTGCTTCGCACGTACCCGAGCCGCTGCGGCTCCCACTAACAGCTTTTCTTGGATGGAGGACCCAAGCAGAGGGCAATCCTGCCCCAGGCAAAGCGTATGTCGGTGTTTTAAATCGATCACGTGGGCTGTTCAGACTGTCGAGGGGGAGAGCGTTGGCTCTGATGGGATTCGGCACCTCCAGGAAGGGGTTTAGCTGACATGGTGCCTGCGAGAGCAACAGCCTTAACAACCAGGGGAAGCTCCTGGTGGTCCCATGTTTGTTAATTCTGTGCTGCCGTTTGCCGAGGTAAATAGCAATTTCATGTGTCTGGGGAAGGGGTGCAGGAACTGAGGGGGTGAACTGGCCTGGAGTTGAGACCGGTCACTTCTCTGTTTTTGCCATGGGTAAAGAGTAGAAAATTCGGGGTGACGGCAATGTCTTTGGAAATGTTTCTGTCCCCTGATGGCTCTGGGAGTGGTGTCTACAGGTAGGAGAGGGCTTTGGGTCACGGGGGAGGCTGGATCCCACTTTAGAGCCCATTTCTAATCCTGTGAAACACTCTGCCGAGAGCTGCCAGCTTTGGGGAGCTGGTGCCCACCCCCGCAGTGGCTGTTCAGTCTGCTGGTTTGGTAGGATTCGTCGGCTTGTGTTGAAAGTGCTTAAGCCCCCCGGATGGCCAGGGCGGCTGCTGCTCACAGCTCCGCTCCTACGCTGGTCTTGCCCTGCCGCAGTGTCCCAGGAGAGGTGGCGGAGTTGGCCACGGGATGCAAAGGCTCATCAATGGCTCGGTTG